ATATATATTGAACCTATTTGAAATTGTTTAAAAAATCTAAAATTCATGTCTGACATCATGCCTTGAAACATTGAAAATGAAATGAAGCATTTCGAGTTTAGAAAAGGCTTAACAAGGGTCTTCAAATACTAGGAAATTCTTAGAAAGAATATAATAATATCTAATTTAGTCCAAAGTCCATGTTCATACAAGATGACTTTTCAGCTTTAATGTTATTATTAATAGTGTAAACTGCAACTATACACATACCCCTAAACTATTGATTTTTTTTGCAAATCACTCTCTAACATGACCAAAAAGAGAAGGGGAAAAAACAGAATTAAGACCCGCATGTTATTTAAGATAAACCACCATCCCATTTGTTTATCTTCTTCTTTACTTCCACATTAAAAAAACATAATATATATCTATATATATATATGCATGGTACACAAACAATATGTGATGCAGTGTATTCACCACCACCCTCCATCCCAACTTTATCTTTTCTAACACCTCGCCCTAGCTTCATCATGTGGATCCTACCTTCTAGTATTTTTCTACACCTGTAAGTAAAGCATCACACCATATGACCCACCATCTTCATCATGTGGATCCTACCTTCAGCTTTAATGTTATTATTAATAGTGTAAACTGCAACTATATATATACCCATAAACTATTGATTTTTTTGCAAATCACTCTCTAACATGACCAAAAAGAGAAGGGGAAAAAACAGAATTATCATACTATGCAAATAAGGCCACACAATCAAACTATCACTACTTACAATGTAAAATTACTATAACACCCATTATTTAAACGACATCATTTTGCTAAATGTTACAATCAATCCATCCAATATAATTATGCCACATGTATAAATATATTCTTTTAAAAAAAAAAAAAAAATTAAGACCCGCATGTTATTTAAGATAAACCACCATCCCATTTGTTTATCTTCTTCTTTACTTCCACATTAAAAAAACATAATATATCTATATATATATATATATATATATATATATATATATATATACATATGCATGGTACACAAACAATATGTGATGCAGTGTATTCACCACCACCCTCCATCCCAACTTTCTCTTTTCTAACACCTCACCCTAGCTTCATCATGTGGATCCTACCTTCTAGTATTTTTCTACACCTATAAGTAAAGCATCACACCATATGACCTGCCATCTTTATCTCAAACACTAACAATATTGTGCGCCACACACCACAACAATTGCCTGTCAACCATAGTGCACCAAACCACCATCCCTAAAATTGATCCATCACAACCTTCCACCATTGTCACTCCAATCTAAATCCAATCAATTCGCCACATTCCCACACGCCTCTTTCTGGATTTTCTCTCGCTAACAACATTCAATAGTTTCTCAATTTTTTTATTACCATACACAAATTTCCTGGCAAGTAAAATTTATTTTTAAATTCTAAAGCATATGATTTATCCATCATTTATACAAAACCTAAAACAACAAAACCATTGATACGCCCCTCTTTCTTCAATATTCTTTCCAACATACATATTTATGGTTCATAGCCATCGAAATAACGCTTATGTTATGCTTGGAAGCACCGTTTGGCACCTTAGAATTGGAATTGGAAAAAATTTAGTTCAAAGTTTGAACTAAATTTGGTCCAATTCCAAGTCCAAGATGCCAATTCGGTGTTTCCAAACATAGCATTAGTGTATTTGAGTATAACCTCAATGAAGGTATATGGCTCCAAAAAAAAAACATTCAGAAGAAGAAAAGAATGAGGGTTAAATAGACTCTTAAGATTTACTACAAGGGGTATATCAAGCATTTTACATTCTGGTCAAATTAGTATTGGTAGTGTTCAACAATTGGATCTACCATGTGGATTAAGGGGAAATTGGTCATTAGAAAGGTACAACAGTCATAACACATAATTAGTTAGGTGCACAGCACATAAATTAAGTAATATTTCTGTCAAATTTTAGAGGCAAATTGATCGCAGGGAGGTAATTGTAAGATTTTGGATTAGTTTGGGCAGTTTCTTGCCAAAATAACATTTAACAAATTCATAAAAATCTTTGGGTTGAAAATTAATAATCCATGGTTGGCTGGCTTCAAAAAAAAAAATATTTTTTACTATGATAAGCTATAAACAGAGAATATTTAATAAATATATACAAATATTTGTTGAATATCTATAAGCAAATGCAAGTAATAATATATGCAAACAACTGAACAAATTTTTATTATTTAAATTTATGCATAAATTTGCATACATTTATTGTACACCTATATAAGTATATATGTGTGTGTAAATTTGCATATATTTATTGTACACCTATATATATACAACATATACAGTCCGTTCAGTTACTTCCTGGTGTGCAGGGAGCAATATACGCGACTTCTATTTCAGTCGTTGGATTTCATCCAATGACTGAGATTGAAAACAACTAAATTATTTGTTTCTAGTTTTTTAAGACTCCAAAACCACTCAATTTGAGTGTTTTAAATAAAATAAAATACCTTCTAAGCCAAATTTTACGGGTGTTAGTATATTATTAGATAATTTAGATGAGGATTGTTTCATTATTATACAATTTTTTTGTTTTCCCTTCACTATTAGCACACACAAAGATTTTTATGGAAATATTAATTTTTATGGAAGGACTCTACATAGTAGAACAAGAAGAGAGACTTAGTAAGTTTTTTTTTTTCTCCATTCAATTTCATTAAGGTTTTTTTTTTTATATACAATATAGAAGGACTTAGTAATTATGAACAGAAAGAAAAAAGGTAGGAAAAAAAAAAAAAAAATCTAAGTTTTTTGTCAAAAAATTTGTACAAAGAGATTTTTTTTTCCCGTAATAGAAGGACTCCACTAATTTCACTCTTCAATATCCAAATGATTTTAGTGGAAGTATTTATTTATTTTTTATTAGAAAGTGTTTTATTTTATTTAAAACACTCAAATTGAGTAGTTTTGGAGTCTTAAAAAACCAGAAATAAATAATATAGTTGTTTTCAATTTCAGTCATTGGATTTCAGAAGTCGCGTATACTGCTCCCTGCACACGAGGGAGCAACCTGCACACCAGGGAGCAACTGAACGGGACTGTATAAGTATATATATATGTGTGTGTAAATTTGCATATATTTATTGTACACCTATATATATACAACATATTAAACATAGGGAACACAAAAATCCACATATATACATATTTTTTTTTTTTTGATAAGTCACATAATACATATTATAAACACATACACGTATATACATACAACATATAAAAATTTCAATTTAATGAAAAATGAACCAAGCATGGAATAGTTTAGAGTTCCTTGCCAACAAAATTTAGCAACCAAGACATGGACATAGTTCCATTTGATTAACATGCTCCTTTCGAAATGAAAAAATCCAAAATGCTAACCGAAATAAATTGATTATTATGGATTAAACCTACAGAACTATCACAATTAATAGCAAGAAAGGAAAAGAAAATATTTTATTAGACACAGGAAACAACCGAAACAAATATCTGCCCCTGAAAAATAAGTCTATATTCATAAATCTGAAAAAATAAACTTTTAAGAAATAAAATAATGCTGATTGTGAGTACCTTGAGATACTTGAGCTTGATGCTTCCGTAAGCAAGTCCAATAGAGAAGGCAGAGACACGAGCCACCTACATTTGTATGCCAAATTGGGAAAAAGGAACTTCAACAATCAACCAAATCGTAAACTTTATGCATGTTTACAAATTACACACACATATATATGTATACACACACAAATACAAACAGAATCGCGTAGAAAGGAAAAGTGGCGAGTTACCAGAGCAAGAGTATTTTTTCCGGTAAAAACTCCCGGGATCTGCGGTGGTTGCGACTCCATCTCAAATTTCTTCGATGTGTTTCTTTGACTAAAAATGATGAGGGGAGTCTACAAAGAGCTCAACCTCGATATCTATATAGCCCTAGACTTTGCTCTGTGTCTTTTCTTTTTCCTTCCTATATACGGAGGGGGGTTTGATTGAGTAGGTTCGAGTGCAAGAGCACTAGTGTATGACTTCATTTTAATAAATCAATAAATCTTCGATTTCATCTTTAATAAATTAAACAATTAACTTGCTTAAGTTTCTTAGCAATATCATGAATGAATGGACAAATTAAATGTGATAAAGTGTATATATATATTTTTAAAATGTGGTAATGATTTAGGGATGGCAATTCGTAATCGTTAACCGTGTCGTGTCAATGTAAGAGTATTATATTAAATATGTAAATTCAAATTCAATTTATTTAATAATTATATCAGTGACCCTCGACACTAACCCGATCTGTTTATTAAACAATTATTATTTATTTTTTTGGTCACCTTTATTAAACGGGTTAACATGTTAACTTTGTTTATTAACATGTTTATCAAAATGAGACATTTAATATTCAATTAAATAATAATTACTATAAAAATTTTGTCATAATTAATCTAAATATTCAAAATAAGAAGACAGATAACATATTACATAAGTCATATTTATGATTATGACATGTTGATTTAAACAGGTATAAACAGATTACACGTATTGAACCCCTCAACCCTAACTCGACACGTTTAAATAAACAAATTAATCATATCATCCCGTTTATGACTCAAACTCATTTAAGGTTAACAAAAATTCACTTATCTCGAGTCGTGTTGGCAGATCATGTCGTAATTGGTCACCTTAGTAATGAATATGATTAAAATTTTCAACTAAATAAATTACATCAAATTTTTTTTTATTATATTTTTTAAAATTTAGTGAACTTATATAGTTTTTATTTCTTCAGGAGGAAGAAGAACAACAACAAGAACAAGAAAAAAAACAAAAAACGTATATAGTCAACATAGGAGGGTTATTTGTTCAATATTTTTCTCACTTTTTTTTTATTATATTTGAAATTATAATGGAGATTTTTGTTATTTAGACAATTTATCTGAAATGTAAGTGTAATTATTCTTAATTATTAATTAGAACGAAGATAAAAGAGAGAGGAGGAGGAGCAAGTGATAGTAAGGGTGAAAAATGGCGTCGAACCAAGTAAGGGCTTCGCACATACTGATCAAACACCAGGATTCGCGGCGCAAGGCGTCATGGAAAGATCCAGAAGGCCGCGTTATTTGTAACACAACCAGAGACACCGCCGTCACTCAGCTCAAAGCCCTTCGTGATGACATCATCACCGGCAGTGTCAAGTTCGACGATGTCGCTTCCCGCTACTCCGATTGCAGCTCCGCCAAGCGCGGCGGCGATCTCGGTCAACTCTCTCTCTCTCTATGCCTCTACCCTCTATCCTTTTCCTTTTCCGTTATTTAATTTTTCAAGTTGAATTGCAATTTGTTAAATGGGTGGTTTCATATGAAGACTGAATGTAGAAAATGCTGATGGATCGATTCGACTGTTCATGGTTGATTAGGTCTGCAGGAATGTTAATTAGATTTGAATCTCAATTTCTCAATTTTTTTTTACTCCTTACTTTTTCTTTAATTTGAAAACCTAGGTTTCATTTTTTGGTTGGTTGGTAGGATAGTAATTGTTAATTGTTGATTGAGGCTTTGTATTGATAAAGATGAATCTGTCTTATGATGGTGTTCCTAAGTACAGCAAAATGGTAAAGATTTTATGTGTAGATCCCAAATAATTGGGACGAGAGACTTTTTTTTTGTTTCCTTTCTTTCGTGAGCTAGTCGAGTGTTCTGACCTGCTCTTAGATGATGGTCAGTATATGGTTCTCAGGTAGGTTGTGGATGTTATAAATGGTTTTGGCTACTCAATTTTGATGTGTTTTTGTTGGAATTTTTAACTTTTTTTCCCATTGAAATGTCATTAGTAAACAGTACCTAGCATTTCTTTCTTTATGGTGATATTATATGGTTTTGTTATTCAAACTCTCACTAAGTTTACATCACTTTATACAGTTAAACGCTTTCTAAAATCACTCCCTCTATTTCCATGATCGTTCTTAGTGGGTAAAAACAATGTGCATTAGGTCGAACTTGTGGCATCATCCTGATTGCTAATTGATGCACTATGGAACAAGTGTCAAAGCACAAATTCATGCTAGTGTGTTACCAAATGGCCTCCTTAAAAGTGTACTTGTCATTGAGATTAAATGCTATTTGTTTGAAAGCTGTAAATGTATAGAAAAAAATTATAATTGACAAGAATGTACACCATCTTCATGATCATCATCATCATCATGTTCTTCTTCTTCTTGGTAAATGACAAGAATGTGCATCATTAGCATAGTATAACAACCAAATACTGTATATTGGTCTCTCCTCTAGCTATAATTATCTTCAAGTCTTCAGTGGTTGCTTACTTAGTATGACTGGTTTGCGGTGCAAGTTGGAACAAACTATCATTTCCAAACTTGAGTCAGATAGCTAGATCATATGCTATTGGGTCAGCCGACTCAGCCCCAACCATTGTGGTACCATCGAACTACATATAATTCGAGTAACATTTCTCTCCTAATTTACTAACTTGACAATAATTATAATATAGTTATCTTTTTGAAGATATGCATAGGACATCAATCAGTTAAAGGTTTTCATTTCTTGTTCCATGGAGTGTATTATGGACATTTTACATGGTTTGTAACTTTGTATAGCTTCAGTAGATTAGTTTTTATAGTTTGTCTGGCGCTTGTGTTGTCAATTTGACTGACTTGGCAGGTTTAAATTTACTACCAACATGTATTCAAGCACATTATTTGAATTTCTTCATGTTGTCATTTTGACTTTCAAATATTTATCTGACATCTTGACAGTTAGATTTGTGGAGCTTCTGCTTTAGGCATTGGTCATTGGAATATTCATTATTATTTTAAATATCCTCTTTTTTTGTACTAGATATTTATTTTCTATGATTCTGTTATCAAATAACGCTAAAAGGTTCCCCAACCGTTTCGCTCTATTTTGTATAGGGCTTCAACTTCAGTTCAACAATATATTTCCTTACTATCTTAACACACAATAATCTTGGCCTTTCTTTTCCTAGAATTTCCCATCTACCCTCAATGGGACCATGCCACTCTTTCTCATTAGTGCATTCATTAGTGTTTTTGTTTTTTTTTAACTCACGTGGTCAAACCGTGATATTCTGTTTTCTCTCATTAGGTTTCCAATGGGTGCTACTTCTAACATCTAAAGAATGTATTTATTTATCAAAAAAATAAAAACATCTAAAGAATGTATTTGTTTTCAAATTTGTCACTTTTTGTCTAACCATACATTCATTTCAATATCAGTATTTTTGGTCACTCGTTTGATAACTATGTTATTTTGTAGTCATCTGACAATTTGACCAACAAAGTATGGTTGGTTAGCATATTTAATCTCTAAAAATATATTTTCTTTGATACGATATTCTTCTATGTCTAAACTTTCTTTATGAATTTCGTTCAACCTCTTAAAGTAACCTCGTCACTTATTTTTCACTAGGACTCTTAGATCCTTACTCTTGATGCATTTAATGTGATTTAAATCTCTATTCTCCCATCATTTAACATAATAGGTCATCGTATACTCTATTTAAGCGGCTCAAGCTACTTTTTAAATTTATCCTCTGCATATTTATAGTTTTTGGAACCTCCTTGATGTCCAACTCTTTTTCAAATTCTATAATTATTCATATTTGTTTTATTTTGGTTTGAACATCATCGTCCCACCAATAAGTTTCCTTAGACAATTTCTCTTTTCTTTTTGATTCTTCAAGAACCTCTTACAGTCATCCACATTACATTAGTTGTAGCTTCTAAATGGATTGGGGTAGCTAAAGGTGACAGGTTATTTTTTGGACTGCAAGAACACATGGTGGTTTATCGATAAACATAGAAATTGTGACCTTTTGAGCAATGCTAGGTTAGATTAATTCCTTTTCCCTTCTCTTACATTGGAATTTCAACCTCTATGTGTGTATGTTTTCTGGTTTACCTTTTAGATCCTTTATACAATGACACTATTGTTGTAAGTTTCTCGAAAATTGTTTTGCATTTCCTGTGAAACATTGTTAATTCTTTAAAGTTTGAGGGCACCTTTTTATTCTTGCAATGTTATGAGCTTAAAGATACTTTTATGATACAAAAATTCAAACTTCTTTGTTTTCCATGCAACAACTTGATCTTGCAATGTATATGAGCTAAAAGATCTTTTGCTATAGAAAAATTCCATTCTTCTTGTGTTTACATAATAATTGCATTTCTTAGAGAAATTGTCCACCTTATGTTTCTAGTTCGTCCTTATGGCAATACGGGATTTGCATTCCTTTCCTAATTTTTCAAACTTAAAATAGGACTTATTTTACATTTCTGAACTTAAGCCTTCATTTGAAGCCAAAAAAAGAAAAGTAAAAAAGAATGGGTTTTGAGGCCCTGCCCACCCACCAATTTCAATGAAAATGGTTTTATCTTTTTCTTCCCTCTTTCTAAATTGTTGTGTATTATATTTCTTGGTGTCATCATATTTGTCAATATTAAATGTTGTAATGCCTTTAACGTCCGAGTATGATGCAAGTTTTGGCATACAGAAGAAAGAATACATTTTGGAGTTTAATATGCCTTATGGATCGATGTATCACTTGCATCTCTGGGTAGTATCTGGAAGTACCAAATATGATAAAAGCAAAAGATATCAGAATTCTGCTTGATGTGTTTTTTACTTCTGTCATCACACAATTTATTTCTGTATGCTGAAAGTATGATACTGTGGGTGATTGAGTTTTTCTTTCCTTAGCTCAACTCAACTCAACACAACTCAACTCATTATACTTATGCCCCAACTATTTAGGGTAAATCATATAGATTTGGTTTTGTTATTTCTTCCTTGTTTTCAATTAATCCCATTGTTCCTTATTATCTCAATGAATGTGCTTTTGGTCCTTCCTTTCCCCCCAGACATAACCTTCAATGTTAATCATGTTATTGGCGTTCCATGCCTGTGTCATTTTAGTCAGTTCTCTCTCATTTGATTCATCCAAACTCCCCCATCTCACTGTGAGATGCATTAATTTCTTATTCTATACGTTGATTTTCTTTTTTTGGTAATCAAAATTGAAAATAATTTTCAGCGGCAGTGCAATACTAGTCTTCTATATTCATTAGTGATTGTATTCCTTGTTCCAAGTTAGTTAGTTGAAGAGGTAAGAGAGAGAAGGGGGTGGGGGTGGCTCTTTTCCTTTTGGTATGGGGTTGGAAGTTGAGATGATTTAGTGTACAATATGAACATGTATCCTAAAAGTTTAAGAATTTATTTGTTTTGGGTATTCCGTATGTGTGATATATATGTATTATGCATTGTTTTTGGTGCTCACTCCTGTGATTTCTAATTCCTTGCAGGTTCTTTTAGTCGTGGCCAGATGCAGAAACCTTTTGAAGAAGCGACATATGGTTTGAAGGTTGGCGAGATTAGTGACATTGTGGATACTGACAGTGGTGTTCACATAATCATGAGAACTGGCTGATCTTGGATGAATTATGGATGGGTATACTGAACTATTTCAGGCTACATTCAAGATACTCAATTAAATGCTTTTGTATTGTTTGATCTTCCATTTGAGGTTCCACAGCCGTTCATTTTATCTATTGTATACAATCAATATACTATTTGAGAGAACTTCACCAATTGCATGCAGTGTGTCTGAATTGTTACTCTTATGAACCATATTTATACCTGATTTTTGTTTCAGTGCTCTCTAAACTGTGGAGTTTCTGTTGACACTTAACGACAGATGCTTGAAGGTTTGATATTGATGAAGGCATGTTTGACAAACCATAAAATTGAACCAGCTGTGTCTGTTTTGTTTTTTGAGTTTGATTATTCAGCCTATGCAGGGAGATCATTTTTCAGAAATTATTACTGTTGCATCAATCTTGTACTTGTGACCGTAGCATGTTTACTCACCAAGGTTGTTTTAGTTAAATATTCTGAATGTTACTCAAGTTTTGGACGTGGGTTTATTGCCTGGTGCAATGGTAAAACCCTAAGTCACACTACTGTGACGCACGTTCTCGCTCCCGGTCTCACTGTTTTTGCCGCACTCTCTCTAGCTCCCTCTCCGTCGACTTAGGTAAAACAAGATAATTCATTAGAAATTTTTAGAGCTTACATCCCCTCCTCTCTTCATCCAATTGAATACACAAGTCACACATAATTAGTTGTTATGAATTGGGATGAATTGGAAACTTTTATGCTCCCGGAAGGGAAGGGAATGGAATGGAATGTCTATTTTAACTATTTTTTTGTTTGGTAAGTAATTTAAAATGAGAATGGTCATTCTATTGGAATGAAAATTTATTCCACAACTAAACCTAGGCGCGGCTCAACAGAGCAGCCGCGCCGTCCTACCTATTTATGGAATGACCATTTCATTCCCAAGTAAAATTTTTTTAAAAATCAATTTCCCAAAAAATCATCATATTCCAAGTCAAAAAACTACAATTACCTTCCACTACAATCACCTTTCACCACGGTCACCACCTTTCACCATCGCCCACCGCTTTCCACCACTATCGCCACCGCCTTTCACTACCGACACCGCTTTCATTTGCCATAACCACCACCATCGTCATCACCGCCTTTCACCATCGACACCGCAACCACTTTCCACCACCACCACAACTATCACCTTTCACCACGTTCCACCACAGCCTTCCACCACCACTACTGCCACCGCCACCGCCTTCCACCACCGCTTTCAACCACCACCGCCGCCACCATAGCCTTCCACCACCACCTTTCCCCACCGCCATCACCTTTCACCACCTTCCATCACCACTACTATCACCGCCTTTTACCACCACCACGCCATCGCCTTCCATCACCACTACTGCCATCATCTTCTTTCTTTCCTATGATTGTAATCATTGTATGAATATAATTCATCTTATATATCATTTATTTATTAATATATATATATAGTGAAGTCATCATGTTACATATTTTCATTTTCCTTTTAATTATGCAAAGTTTGTGAGTTTAGGGACAGAGCCAAAAATTAAATTAAGGGGCGCAATGTAAAAAAAAAAAAAAAAAAAAAAAAAAAAAAAATTCAAATAATCATTACAATAAATATAGATTCTATAAATTAAGAGACAAAGAAGAAAAATTACTTAAAATAATATGTCACTCAATAAGTAATTTAAGAAAGATAAATAGTTAACAAAACATTTAAAAAGGAAAGAAAAAATGAGAGAATTTTGAAATGGAAAGAAATTGAAGTTTGTTTCAAAATTAGAAAAAAAAAAAAAATTAAAGTTTGATTCAAAAAGAAAATTTTGACTTTTTTTTAAAAGGAAATTAAACGAATTTAAAGAGTAAAAAAAAATAAGAAATATAAAATTTAAGAGATAATTTAAAAAAATAAAAATTTTAGGAAGGTCATTATACAAATTATTTTATAAATACATGAAAAAATATACTATATAAATATAGTATATGTATTATAGAGAGCCCACCGTCCCAGCTCGGCCCAATTAAATTCTTGTGGTCAGAAAAAATATCACAGTCAGTAATTCAATCACTACTAAGCATCCTCAAAGAACCAAAACCTAGACGATCCATTCCAACCATTCGAAGTCCATTCCAATCTCTCTGCGTATCCCTGTTTTTTCGCACTTCACAATAAAACCCAACGATGGCCGCCATCAATCTCTCTCCTCTCTCATCCTCCCTTGACAAATCTTACTATCTCTCTATAAACCCATCTCCAAAACCCTTCTCTCTCTACCCAAAAACCCTTCCAAAACCCTCCTGCCCTCGCAACCCTTCTTTTTCACAGACCCACAAAACCCTCTTCACGGTCTCCTCCAAAAACCCCATTTCTGACATTGTCTCCGCATATAAACCCGACTCAGATCACCATTCTTTGAGTTTTGATGATGACGATAAGCCCCGAGAAGAGTGCGGCGTCGTCGGCATATACGGCGACCCAGAAGCCTCCCGTCTCTGCTACCTCGCACTCCACGCTCTTCAACACCGTGGCCAAGAAGGTGCCGGGATCGTCACCGTCCACGACGACGTCCTCCAATCGATCACCGGCGTCGGACTCGTATCCGAGGTCTTCAACGAGTCCAAGCTCGATCAACTACCCGGCAACATCTCAATCGGGCATGTCCGGTATTCCACTGCCGGAGCCTCCATGCTCAAGAACGTCCAGCCCTTTGTGGCCGGGTACAGATTCGGGTCAATTGGTGTCGCCCACAATGGCAATTTGGTGAATTATCAAGCCCTTCGCGCAATGCTGGAAGAAAGTGGGTCAATTTTCAATACTAGCTCTGATACAGAGGTGGTACTCCACCTCATCGCGATTTCGAAGGCTCGGCCTTTCTTTTTGAGGATTGTGGAGGCGTGTGAGCAGCTCGAGGGGGCTTATTCAATGGTGTTTTTGACAGAAGACAAGTTGGTTGCTGTTCGAGACCCGTTCGGGTTTAGGCCATTAGTGATGGGCAGGAGAAGCAATGGAGCTATAGTGTTTGCCTCGGAGACTTGTGCATTGGACCTAATTGAGGCCACATACGAGAGAGAGGTGTATCCTGGTGAGATATTGATTGTGGACAAAAATGAGGTTCAATCACTCTGTTTGATGCCCCATCCCGAACCCAAAGCTTGTATCTTTGAGCACATATACTTTGCCCTGCCAAGTTCAATTGTTTTCGGAAGATCAGTGTATAAATCGCGCCACGAATTTGGTGAAATACTTGCAACCGAGGCACCGGTTGATTGTGACGTTGTTATAGCTGTGCCGGATTCCGGTGTGGTGGCTGCACTTGGTTATGCTGCCAAATCAGGGGTGCCATTTCAGCAGGGGCTGATTAGGTCACATTATGTGGGTAGGACTTTTATTGAGCCATCACAGAAGATTAGGGACTTTGGGGTGAAGCTGAAGCTCTCACCGGTCCGAGCTGTTTTGGAAGGGAAGAGGGTTGTGGTGGTTGATGACTCGATTGTGAGAGGAACCACCTCTTCAAAGATTGTTAGGTTGATCAAGGAGGCTGGGGCTAAAGAAGTTCACATGAGGATAGCAAGTCCTCCCATTATTGGTTCATGTTATTATGGAGTGGACACACCTAGCTCTGAGGAGTTGATTTCGAATAGGATGAGTGTGGAGGAGATTAGAGAGTTCATTGGGTCGGATTCGCTCGCCTTTCTGCCATTGGAGAGCTTGAAGGATTCGTTGGATGAAGATCATCCCAACTATTGTTATGCTTGCTTTTCTGGGAAGTACCCAGTTGAGCCAAATGGGAAAGTGAAACGGATCGGCGATTTTGTGGATGATGGGTTGAATGGAAGCATTCAATCCATTGAAGGGGGATGGATTCAAGGAACTAGAACTAGAAATAATTCAGTACATAACGAGGAGGACGAGAAGAAGGGAGTTTCACTATAGTCGTCATGTTATGGTGTCTTTAGCTGTTATAGCATAGGTGCTTTTTTTGTGATGCAGCAACTGGTGAGTGACTAATGTTTTCGATGACATTTTCTTAAGATAATATATATTGTTGTGTTAAAGTTGAATTACTAGTAATAAAATTTTGTCTTTTGCATTTGAGTGCTTTGGTAGCATCTCTGGTGTTCTTTTGGCCTATTCATTAGTTCAACACACGGTGAGATTGATGTGAATGGATTGCCCAAAAAAAAATCATCAGTGTTCCGTAAGTGTGGACCAGAAAAGCTAGTTTCCAAGATTTAACATGTTCTATACAAATACATACATCGGACAAAATATGTGGGGGTGCCAATAAGCAGAAGAAGACCACAAATTTTTATTTTTATTTGTTGTTGTTTCATCCAGGGTACGGGCAGGGAGCTGGGCACACTACCAACCAAGTTAGTTTAGTTTGTCACTCAGGTTCATAATGACATGGTTCCATTCCTGTTGGCAACTAAAAAAACAAAAAAAATTAAGAAGGTCCATTGCAATGCATATATTAATGCCATTTTATAAAAAAACGAATACCATTTCCAGATAGAAGTAATGCCCATGGCTAATTACAATGACTAAACTTAAAATACCAAAATAACATCAAGATGACGACATGCGGGCACATATGCAAGTAAATTACATAATAATTCATTCAAAGGGCAAAACAATAGAACTATAGAAGACTTCAATTAAATTATAATTCTGCCTCACAAAATTAAGCCAATCTATGTAATGCTCAAGTACAATATCTTTTTTTTTTTTCTTTTTTTTCCCGGGAAGGTAAATAGAATACATTTTATATTAATGAGATCTTTTGCTTTGACCTTCTAAAATTAGCATCATGGATGAAAAAATAATCAAGCTTCAAAACCCACTTCATTCTCGCGACATCGTTGATCATAGCAACTTATATTAGAAGCCCACTTGCTTCACTTTGCAAGGCATAGGCAGTAGTCCATTAGCCATTTTCTGCTCTGTCATAGGCATTGGATTTATGCTTTGGTGCAAATGTAAAGCCCTCTGGAACCTTGCCAAGTACCATCTCAGATATCCTAATCTGCACAAGGTAATTAACAAAGCAATAAAAATAAAAATGACAGTCGTCGTCGTAGAAATAGCAGTAGTCATTCCAAACATAAGGTAACAACATACCCAGTCCGCCGCAGAATCAGAGGCCATTAGCGTCTCAAGGTCATCCCGACCATAGTATGAGGGTGGCCGCCAATTCAGTCGTTGTGGAGTTACTTCTAAAAGGCCAACAGGGATATATCTGCATGTGTAACTAAGCCATTCCAACAAGAAGTGTCGAGTTGTTTCCACTCCTGCATCATATGAATCAGAAATCAGAATACCCATCACATTCTGGATAAAGCACAATGTGGAAGTTACACTCTTCAAATAGTCAAAAACTGAAGCTCCTTTGACTCGATTGATACCAAATGAATAGTAAATACCTTTTGCGTCAGAACCCCAGTGTTCAAGGCCAAAACGTACATAATCCTTCAAAATATTTAATCGTTCCCCAGAACTGATGTCCCAGTGTCTTTGTTCTTTGATTTCAGTAAATACCCAAGGCTGCAAAGCATAGCAGATATAATTCACATTTCATAAAACACAGGCTTAAATGACTCAGCAAAACACACATAAAAAAATCACGGCAAGCCAAAGCTTCAAAAGAAAACCTTAATCAACGCTCCTCGAGCAATCATGCATGTAGAGAGCTCAGGGCAATCAGACCTGTGCTTGTTCCAGTCTAAATACGAATTGATATCTCCATTCCCCAGGACTTGCAAAGAATCAGGGGCCTTTCTCGCACACTGATAGATGTATTCCCAATCAGCAAGCTTGCTATAACGTTGCTGACGTGATCGACCATGTATTGTCACTGCAGTTGATCCCCAACCACCAATATCTTCAATTAATGAATCGATGCGATTTCTCCCCTCAAAATAACCAGTACGCACCTAAAGAAGAAAAAACTACGTTAAGTTGCACCTCAAACACACTCAATAAGTAAATACATTTTCTTTTAGTTCATATTAGAAACAGAAAAGAAAATTTAAGGGTCAAAATTTTCAATGAAGGTGGATCATCAATTGACTATAACCATTCATGAGTGTCACACTTCCAAAACTACCACTCTTAACAGAGATGACAAACAAAAATTGATGCATTTTTCAATTTAACAATGTAAACTTGAAAAGCCAAACAGAATCACAGATCATTTTGTCTTTCACATATGTCTAACTCAAAAGATTACCAAATACCTTGACGGTAATAGGTTTGTCCACTGTGGCGGAAGCTGCCTGTATAACATTCTTCATTCGCATTGGTTTTGTAAGAAGAGATGATCCAGCACCCTTATTAACAACAATATCAATTGGGCACCCCATATTAATGTCAATGAAGTCTACTGTGCATTCTTGATCTATAAGTTCGACCGTTCGCGTAACCGTGTCTGGATATGCACCACATATTTGAACGCCAAACAAATCCTCGGATGAATGACGCCTCAGCAATGCCCATTCTGAAGCTTGACCCTGTTCTCATGTCAAATGATTGTAAATTTTACAATACATCGCCTATGTGATGCAAAGCATTTACAAAAAACAAAAAGAAAAAGACTGAACACTTCTCCATGGGTGCAAATCTTCCCTCCCCACTCTCCAAAAAAAAAAGTTGGGTAAGAAAGACTAAATTCTATTTGTAATGTGGAACCCCACATTAGAGGCATTGAATACGATCTTCAATCACTGAACGAACATGATTTGGGTTACAAATACAATATTCAACTATTGCAGTCATAATTGGGGCAAACATTACTGATCCCAGATATTGAGGTATTATGTTAAGAACATAAACTGTTTAAATGCATGGCACATATAGAGTCCTGTGGAAACAAAATACATAACACTCTATATTGTAAAGTGGGAAACAAAAGGTCGCCTACCAAAAAAAGAAAAAGTAGTATGTTCCTATGCCAAAAGAACAACATATTACCAACGGACCATTAGCCCAATGGTATATCTCTCCTCCCTCAAAGGGAGGTGAGGGGTTCGAGACCCGTTGTGGACCCACATATTTCACAAAGAATATGTTATAAATCAGGCTGAATAAGTTGTAGAATGGATCTATGTTGCTAGCCAGAAAGCAAAGCATAAATTTGAATGAACATCAGAGACAGTATATGGTGCATAAAAGCTAAATGTGTAGCGGAAAACTAAAAAACAACTTGTTCAGTTGATATGATGCAGTTTTGTGTGTGCGCGCGCGCACGCGCGTAATGCAAATAATATTTATATAGAAACATCAAAGTTATTGGAAGTTGCCACCTTTTGTTGATAAGTCATATTACAGAATCAGAAAGTGCTACCAAAACAGTATACAAACCTGCAAGAGATTAGTGCACATCGCCATTTCACCACATGTTACATCAGCTCCTAACACCTTGCAAACTCTTCGGTAGGGAAGATTCCCAACTGTGGTCAGAGGTGCAAGATACAGTTTATCTCTAAAATCAATTAGTTTCTTTTCACGTGGATGTAGCTTAAGGCTTGCATCAGTTTCTGTGAGAACATGGTCAGCTATAGTTTCTGATTCAGTTTGTATACAGTTTTTTTCCAAATCTTCCTTAGGAACACCCGCACCTGTTGCAGTATCACCCAGGTAAAATGCATATATTTTTGTTGAATGACAATATTAGATACATGAAAGAATAAACACCAAAAAAATTAAACGAACCATTATTTACTTCACTAGGACAACAGTTATCGTCCATTGAAGATTTTGATTTCTTAAGGGGCCTAAGTTCATCGGCTACAATTGCCTCATCTATGGAACCATCTTCTACCGGTGCTTTTGAAGAGCACTCTGGCACTTCTGGAGAGCATTCCACTTTTTTAACTGAATCACCAGCCACTTCAGTACAACCATTTTCAGCAGTAGCACAAGACCCATTTGAAGCAGCCTGATCACCTTCCTTCTTATCTACCAACATTTTTGCTTTCGGATTTGTCTTCCCCTGAAATTAGAATGTGAAATCACTAACGAACCAAAATGGGGTCCACACGGAGGGAATAACATGAGGAGAAATGTAGGATACTGTCCGCTCATACCAGAAGCCCAAGAAGTTTGAGTGTAGCATCTGCCTTAGGGAAGCCCATTTTGTTTTTCCAGAGAAGCCTCTGGACATCTTTGTTCAGTCCATTCATTTCAGAGCTTTTCTTCTGAACATTCAAGGTTCCAGCAGGACCACCATCCACATGTGTACCTGAAAATCTGCAGGCCAGCCCGTAAGGGCATTTCCCTTCAGTGGTGAGGAAAGGACAGTTTCCCTCTAAATCAGCTGGTTTCTGCATTAAAGAACACAAAAATCCAGTCAAAAGAGTTGATTGATTAGAACATTTATTCAATAAACCACCCCGGGGGGAATGTTTCTCTGTACCTGAGCTTTAAAGCCTTCTAAGTCGTGGTTAAAGCGACAACTGTCTTTATAAGGACATGAATTGACATCTCCGCTTTTTGCAACCTCAGGACAGAGATTTAGCGAAGACTTTTGTTCCTGTGAGGCACGAGGCATCTCTTGTGATTAGATAACAATTCAAAATGATTTTCTCAAAACAAGATGCCTATCCACACAAGAAAAACAATTTACTACTACCCTTGTGTAAGTAAAAGTTAAAGCCATTAGAAGCATATAATATGGTGGTATTATACCAGAGTTTAGACAGTGAAAAAACTGTGTTTTGGGATCCTAAGGTCTTAATTGGATGTGAAGTTCTTTAAAAAGAATGGGGAACAAGGACACATCTCTCTCTGTCTCGATTTTTTTTTTCCCAAATTGTTTTATTTCTTCTTTTTTGTTCTTTCCCGTGCTGTTCTTACTTCTGATCCAATAACCAGCCTTCTTTGACCTAATTATAGCCCCAAAATTCCTAAGCTTCATTTCCTAAACTTAAACGCTACTTCACCCCACCACCCCCAACGCTAAAACCTCTCACTATGCTGAATATTCAAACCTATATTAACCTTAACCAATAGCCAACCCTTATTCCATTTTCATCAATAATCCTATATTTGCACTCTTTCTTTAGATTTTTATGTTATCATACACAGTATACAATCAATACCTAACCGTGGAAAACCTTGTTTCATACATTAAAGGTTCACCTAAGTTATAGAAGTAACAAACCAATGTTCAAATAATTTCAATTATTCAGCTCAATTTCAAGAATTGGTTCAAATTTGTCTGACCTCGTCACCTCACAGCCAAATGCATTTTAAAATAAGTACTCAACTGACGAATTTCTCCTCCTTTAAACTGCTACTGAATTTATTTATTTTTTCACATGAATTGCTCGAAAAAGAAAAAAGAAAAAAAACAACTTTTTCTGAATTTCGAAGCCTTAAGTTTGGAGTCACATGACAAATCTTGGTGAAGAAGGTTCTTGACTAATTTCAATCAGATTTACAGTATAAAAAATGCTTCTTTACAACTATGCAAAAAATGGCTGAAAATTTGTTTAAAAACACCGAGTACGAGAAGAATCATATCCAATCACAGCAGTTTTAAGCATAATCATCAATCCTAAAATATACAAAATAACAAAATCTTAGTAAATTTCTCAATCCAAAGAGTATCTTATATAGAGTCCACCCTAATATGCCATTCCATGGCTTCACAACATGCCTCCCTAAATACAGAAATCGATATATATACACACACAAACACGCACATGTATGCATGTGAGTGTGTGCGAGAGAGAGAGAGAGAAAGAGGGGAGGACCTGGCGGCGTTCTCTCTTGAGCTGCCTTTTCGATTTCTTCTCCTTGAGAATGTTGGAAGAAGCGGGCTTAGCGTCAGAAACGACGTCGTTGGAGTCGTTATTGCAAGGTCTGGTAGGCGGAGGACGAAGGAACTCTCTCTTCACCGGAGCAATGGATTTCGCCACCAGCTCTTCCGGTGTTAGTTGAGCAACTCCTCCTCCGTCTGAAGGTTGATCCATCGGAACCTTCGGTTCATCGACGACGACCTCCGCCGCAGACCCGTCCATGTCGGGACAGTTTAGTTCTGTACTGCGGCTTTGGTGTGTTTGTGTGTGCTCCGTGCAGTGGATAAAGGTTTTAGGGTTTGCTTGCTAAAGGGTGACGTGCGTGTGGGAACGTTTATTTGTGAGTAGGCTCAGGAAAATTAACCATCACAGCAGTTTTAAAAAAACACCGAGTACGAGAAGAATCATATTCAATCACAGCAGTTTTAAGCATAATCATCAATCCTAAAATATACAAAATAACAAAATCTTGGAAGTCGACTCAGGAAAATTAACAGCTCTCAAAAATAAAATAAATATAAATATTATTTTCAAAAAAAATTCAAAATTATATATGTAGTACTTACGATTTTTTATAAAATTTTAATTTTCAATCGTTAAAAAGTAGCAACATATTCTAAAAAAATGTTCTAAGAAAACTTAGTCAAATAAATCTTGGAAGTTGGGACACACTTGAAATATGCCACAGCTTCTGTTCTTCTTGAAATGAAAATTATGTTATGTAAAATTTGATTTATATATCAATGCAAAAGCAAAGTTACCAAGACTTGTAAGAAACTGTTTATTGATCAATTTTGGTCTACATTGTCAATTTGAGAACCATTACTCGTACATTAAATAATGTATATATACATAAAAATATATATATATGTGAAAACAATGTATAATTGTAAGAAAGATTAGATAGATATATGTTAACTATTTTGCTTTTAAATCTCATATAACAGTTTTTTTTTTTTTTTTAAATAATTCCGAATGGCTAAGACCTTTGCAATTTTCTATCTTGGGTTTACTTGGCTTCACAAGAAGTCAATTTGCCCCCAAACAGATGATGTTTCTTGGGAATATACAATCACTCTTGAACGCCATTGCCTTCAACAAGAGTTGTGAATTGAGATGGTGGCTATAGATTTGCCTTTGTATTGTATGACTTTCAGTCGGTCACAAAGAAGATTTTCATGGAGATTCAAGCATCCAAAACTGGCCATGCATGCCACCGTGGGTGGCACAACGGCTACAAGAATTGAAGGGAATGAGGGCGAGGGCCGGGGGAGGGTGAGGGAGAAAGAAAGCTGCAGTCCAGAAACTATTATTGAGCATGGTTCTAACAAAAAGCCAACATGATGCTGCAGTTTTTATGGGACACAATCTAGCCAAACTGTGAATGTGGATGAGCACGAGCGTCGACTGGCAAAGCCGTGCTAAGAAAGCTCTCAAAACCATTCTCTCCCCATGTGACCATGGAGACATTTCACCAGTTACACAAGGCTTATATGCTTCCACCATCTTCAGGGAAACACAAGTACAACTAAATTTGCAACATACAAGTTCAATAACCAATCTTTACATATATATGTCAGATGCTACAAGTTCAATTACACGTTCCATTGCAATGATAGACAGACAGAAACATGTAATCTTAACTCAATTCATATCTAGAAACATCAAACATCCACCATTATTGTTTACATTTGGAAAAGAAATAAATCCGACCAAAAAAAGTAACACAGAATCATAAAATAACCAATCTGAAGAAGAGTTCAGGTTTAACTCTCCTTCACAACAAAATACATCCAAAAGATCTTCAATCCAACATCATATTTTAGTACAGAAACAAAAGCTATAGATATAGGGCTTGTACATGACCTAAATGAACAGTTGGAGGTGGACATGCAAGAAAGGTTGAATTTATAATTACGACACCTTACTATGTTTTGTTGTAGATGCAAAACTAATGAATGAATGCATTGAATAAACTATTGCTGAATATTAAGGAAAAATAGACGACAAAATAAATAAAGAGGCAACCCAAGCTTCTACACCATTTCATCCTCCGCAAACCTACTGGTTTGATTCATGTTTTGTGATTGTGCCGCCATTCTGCTGCAGTTGCTGTGGCTGTGACTGCTGCTGTTGCAACATGTTTTGGGTAGGCTGCTGCTGGTGGAACATCTGAGAGTTGATGGAAAGCTGCTGAAACTTTGAAGACTCTCCACTCAGCTCAGCAGTAGCAAGTTTCAACCGTTGAACCTCGGCACTTAATGCCTCATTTAGAGCTGTCATTATCATCAAGATTAAGCATGCAGAAAGCTCTATCAATAAGAGTTTTGTACAAATTGCAAGACGAAATAGTAAAGAAACAGTAATTAGCAAAAGTATATAAACTGTTATTCAAAAAGGAATACCGTCACTACAGAATACAGATACCTACCAGCCCAAAATAGAAAAAGCATTAACAAATAGACCTAATGTTACATCAGACTTCCAACCAGCTTGTGCACAAGGGAAAAACTTGTAGTTTCCTTCAGTTTCAGCATTTTTTAATAATTTATATTTATTTGGATAATTAACATTTTTCAATTATTACCCAAATTGTCTTGCTGCTACTACAGAGAGTGATGAAAAACCCACTCCAGAAATGTTGCATTTTTTTCTACATACATGAAGAAATCCAATCAATCTAAGGATTCTCAGCCATCAAATACTTCATAACTCAAATTTCAGTGCACACAAACTGAGAGAGAGACAGATTACTCATTCAACATGGATACATCAGTTATTGTTACTTATCAAAAAATAATAATAATAATAATAAATAAATAAAAACTACATCACTTGTGAGTTATTGTCCAGAAACATAAAAGCGAACTACATCAATTCAAATATCTCTGACACGGCATTTTAGTAAATTTGAAAGTGAGCTGGGACACGCACTTTTCGTTTATTAAAATAACAGCATTTGTGTAATTGATATAGTTCAAAGTTCAAACAAATTTTTTTGTTAAAAATTTCTTTTGGTAAGTTTGTATAATTCAAATATCTATGACATGGCAGTTTCTTTGTTAAAGGATGCTAATAACACATGACAACAATCATTGTCAGACAACACAACCTGATTGAGTTTCACAGTACAGATGAATCAGCTCGGAAAGTTCTGTGATATAATATACACATGCTGCACTTCTTTCATTCTTTTAACCACCTCGCAAAGAGGCGATCAGAAAAAGTACTGAAGTACAACATCTATTGTACTCAAGAATAAAAATATAACTATTGCTTTTTCTTTTAAGCATCGAGCCTAAAGAAATCTATTTTTTTGCCCATCTAATTGCCAAGGTGGATATTTGTGATGATCTTGTGGGCGAGTGTGCCGTGGGCGGGTGCGAGACACTGACAAGTCACCACACTAGCGAGTTACAGGTGTACAATCCCACATCGCCTGGGAATGGGAAAGGTGAAGTGCTTATATGTAGGTGTGTCACTTCAATTGGTATGTGGCCTTTTGGGGTAAAGCCCAAGAGTAAAACCGTGCGGGCTCAGATCCAAAGCGGACAATATCATACCATGTGATGAAGTGGGTCGTTAGAAATAGTATCAAAGCCTGACCCAGTCGGAAGTGTGCCGAAGCTACCATACTGGCGAGCTACGGGTACACAATCCCAGATCGCCTGAAAAAGGAAAAAATGAAGTGCTTATATATAGGTGTGTCACTTCAATTAGTATGAGACCTTTTGGGATAAAGCCTACCTTGTGGGAGAGTGTGCCGTGGGCTGGCGAGCTAAGGGTGCACAATCCCACATCGCCTGGGAAATTGAAAGGTGAAGTGCTTATATGTAAGTGTGTCACTCCAATTGGTATGAGGCATTTTGGGATAAAACCCAAGAGCAAAACTGTGCAGGTTCAGGCCCAAAGCGGACAATATCAGACCATGTGGTGGAGTGGATCGTTACAAAATGGTATCAGAGCCTGACCCAAAGGGGGTGAATTGTGATGACCTTGTGGGTGGGTGGGTGTGCCATGGGCGAGTGCAAGACACTGTTAGGCTACCACACTAGCGAGCTATAGGTGCACAATCCTACATCGCCTGGGTAAAGGAAAGATGAAGTGCTTATATGTAAGTGTATCACTCCAATTGGTATGAAGCTTTTTGGGGTAAAGCCCAAGAGCAAAACCGTGCGAGTTCAGGCCCAAAGCGGACAATATCATACCATGTGGTGGAATGGGTCGTTACAAATGGTATCAGAGCCTGACCCAGCCGGAAGTATGCCGATGGGGACGTCGGGCCTCCAAGGGGGGTGGACTGTGATGATCATGTGGGCGGATGTGCCGTGGGCGAGTGCGAGATACTGACATGCTATCACACTGGCGAGCTACGAGTACACAATCCCACATCGCCTGAAAAATGGAAAGGTGAAGTGCTTATATGTAGGTATGTCACTCCAATTGGTATGAAGCCTTTTGGGATAAAGCTCAAGAGCAAAACCGTATGGGTTCAGGCCCAAAGTGGACAATATCATATCATGTGGTGGAGTGGGTCGTTACAATATTTCATCATCAATAATTGAATCAATGTTTGAAAGCTAAGATTCTTTTCCCAATTCATCAAGTGTCATTATATACATATAACAATAAAAACACTTATTGGAAAATTAGCTCCTCTTATTAGCCCCAACTTACATAGCACACTACAACCTACCAAAGAAACCCATTTTTATTTTATTTAGAATACACAGAATAAATTGTCTGTGACTTATAATTTTGTGCATTAATAGCCACATGCACCATTCAACATAATATGCTTACGTAGTAGCAAAATGAGTACATGTGCCAGTCTCTAGTTTTCCACACAACCAAGTTTCAACACTATTGCACATTACAAAATCTATAATATAAGCAAAAGGCATATCATATAACAAAAGAAAAATCATACCATCTCGAAGTTGTGCCTGTTGTTCCATGGCTTGTAGGCGAAACTTCAACTCATTGTTCTGGTTTGTTAGCCCAGTAGAATCTCTCTGGATGCAAGCATGAAGAAGAAACAATAAGACATTGAAAATAAAAGTGAACTGGAACAGATTATTAGCAATTCAAATTCCCACCTGTAACATTGTAAGCTGTGCTGACAATGTTGTTGCTTCTGTCTGTAGTGTTTGAACCTTGTGTTCCAACTCTGCAATATATCGCATTTTTCGTTCTTTTGAACGTGCAGCTGATTGACGGTTGGCCAGAATCCTAAAATTGACCGATAGATTAGTTAATGTGATGTACAATAGCCAACTACAGGGAAGCGGCAGGATTAATTAATACATTACCTTTTGGCTCGCTTGGGGTCAGTCAATGCTATCTCAGAAAGTTTCTCATTTGCCATAATTTTCTTGAGTTCAGCTCCACTGAACTCACCATTCCCAAATTCCAAGCTAAAAGTATTTGAGTTCCCATCCATAGAATCACTGGGCGACAGTTGTCCAGGGCGTGTCTGGGAAGGTGGCAGTTTTGGTGACTCATCACCAAAGTTCATCTTTCCCATAAAACTATCCATGGAAACACTTCTATAGTGTCTGGTGGTTGGAGCAATATCTCCCCCTGCATTCCTTTTGACACCTTCCCTCTTCTCAGTCAAAGAACTAATCCCTGTCCTCTGCAAGCTATTGCCATTTTCATTTACACTGCTTGTTGCTTCATTATCACTGCTATCACCTCCAGTTGTCTTTGTCCCACTGGCTCTACTATCCATATCATCACGGTTCTCGTTACACTGCTTGTCATCAACTCTTGAAGAGTTCAATGCATCAATATTGTCCAAATTCATATAAGCAGAAAACAAGTCATCCACAACTTCACCCTCAGATTTCCTCTCACCCATCCCTTCAGCATTGCTCTCACCACCTTTATCCCAACAAGCCTCCCGTTTAACCAACTGAATTGGCTGAGCCGCCGCAGGCCTTTCCAAAGCACCCACACCCCTTAATGGTATGAGTGGTGGCGAAGATTGCATCACAGTAGAAAATCCAAATGGGATATCACTATTAGACCTCCTGTGCGTCTTGCGAGGAGGGAGACTCTCCCCTGCCCTCGAGGAATTTACCCTCGAGAAAGGCGAGGGTGGTAATAAAGAGTGTGAGTTCGTATCTCTATCCTCCATGGATACATCAGCTGATACCCTATCAGAAATTGTGTTAGATGAAGAGTCCCTATATGGTGATGGGCTTAAGGGGGGCAGGGAATCAAGTGAGAAAAATGAAGGCTGAGACAGGGATCGTGAATGGGTAGGTCCTGGGCTAAAATTCTGCCAACTCAGTTGCTGATTCGCCTGCCGGGTTACCGGGATCTGCGAATAAGGCGAAATAGGAGGGATTTGAGGGTGTGATGGAGGTATACCGACCCTCTTACTGCCATCAACACTAAAATTTGGAGAGAATTGTCGCATCGGAGCTTGAATTTGCGACGAATTCAGCTGAGGTATATCCAGGTGGTTAATTGAGATGGGTTTTTTAGGGACCGACGAAGATGAAGTCCCAAAAGAAGATTGCTGTCTTTGCATCATATCAGTATTAGCTTCCTCTGTATCACCCATTTGCTCCAACTCAAAACTATATAACTCTATATATAAATATATAATCAAACAATGTCCCTTGAAAACCCCTACCGTATCAGTTCAGTCCCACCTGAATCACAAACCTATAAACTTTACTTGAAGCTCATATCTAAGAACATTAAATAAAAAAATTAAAAATAAACTCTGTAACTTTACAACACTAACAAATGAATCTGAAAATGGAAGACAAAATTAACACGACAGTCCAATTATATACCATACAATAATCGAGTAGGGACAAGTCGGAGAAAACAAACTTTCACAATACCTTGAAGCGAATTGACCATTTTCAAACCCTAAGACAAGCAAGACCGGCACAAGCTAGCAATGGTTACTCCGCCACATTTGGCGGCAGTTTAGCGGAAGTGTACAAAATGTTGAGGCGTCAATAACTTCTTCGTCAAATGACGGGAACACCGAAGACCGCAGGCGGAGGGTGGCTCTCTCCCTCTAGCTTTCTGTCTCTCTCTCCACACTGTGTCTCTCTCTCTCTCTCTTTCTCTCTCTATCGACGACGATTACACGGATTTCATGACTACTACTACTACGCGTGAATTTAATATGAATTTCATTTGAGGTGGAATCTTCATTCCGCCCGCATTTCAATTTCATTCCGACCGCATTTGAATGTACATTTTCTTCCTCTATCACCGCAGATTATGTAGCAATAAATCTCTCTCGAATAAAATATTTTACTATAGTTTTACGCTCGTCTTGAGCGCGTGTAAACACTGCAAAATCAAAGTTGTTTGCTATTCTTGGAGGTTGTTTGGCACTTGCAATGTATTAAGAATAGTGTAGCGTATAATCTCTCTCTTAATAAGGTAATGATAATTTTATTTCTAAACCATATCTTATTACTTTTAGTAAAAAAGAAGGTTGTTTGGTAGAAAGGAAAATGGAGAGGGTCAAAAGAAAGAGGGATGGAAGAACTTTCTTTGGTTAGTGAAGGAAAAGAGGGGGGAGAAAGAAAGGAGAGAAAGAAAGAGGAGGAAAGGTGTTTCATTCCCGCGCTCCATTTTTATCTATGAAAAACAATATAATTAAATTAAATTCGTTATCTTTCTCTTAAAGAAGGTACTTAATCTCTATTTGAATGATGAAATGTTTAAAGATTGAGTTGAAGTATTAATATAATTTCCTTTGAGAAAATATTTTTTGGTAATTATAAAATACTCCTAGTACATATGATCAAATTAAGCAATGTTCTTTATAATGGTTTTATCTTTCTAATTTTTTTATTTTATTTTTCATGTCTATCTTATGCAACAATTTTACATTGTTATTATTTATTATGGAGGCTTTGTTCGCACTGAAAAAAAAAAAAAAAAAAAAATGTGTATCCAGTACTCCAATTTATATTTGTAATTTGAGTGATGATATCTTCCATTTTCAAAAGACAAATAAATATTTTGATTTTTTTTTTTAATTAAAAATATAATGTTGAAATTTAAGTCACACAATTTTTTTAAATACGGTTCTCAAATTCTTACATATGTTTACGCTCTTACTCTAACTCTGTATGACTTAAATTTTATAACTTTCACGCTCTCACTCCTACTCACACTCTATGTAACTTAGTTTAAAGGTACGAGTAAAAATGCAAACATAAATTCTCTTTCAATTGCCACTGTAGTTGTGGTCTCTGTCAAGATTTTCATACATAAATTATAAATTTTTCGTTAAATTATAGGAGCAAAGTTAATGTAACAATGTTTAGGTAAACAACGTTATAATTCGATAATCCCAATGGCAATGCAATGCATACAATTGGATTTCAATATTAACCAAGTATTATTATATCTATATGAACTTTTCATAGTGTGATTAGGTTACACAAAGATCTAGGGCACTCAGTTCTACACCTCTATCCCATTCCAACTCACATTCATTTTCAAAAATACCATCATAAATTATATGAATAAAAATTAATTATTATGTGCTTTCCATTAATTATGATGGGGGTGGGAGGAGAATGTTTGTCTCATGATATATGAGAGAAACAGCACCTAAAAATCCTTTTTATGTGAAATTAAATTTCTTGGCTCTATAATATTACAATTGTTTGCAATTGTAAAATGGTTTGCAATTGTATATATTACAATTATATATATATATATATATATATATATATATATATATAATGGTTTGCAATTATGCTATAGATCGTGATATTGTTTATGGTCACGATATAACGAACTCGAATAAATATCGATCTAAATTTATTGATTCTGTGTGACGATACCGAAGCCTTAAAAAAATATTATAAACCACTTTATATGTCGAGTATAGAATGAAACAGCAAATTATGATATATATATATATATATATATATATATATATTTATATTTTGGAGTTTGTTAATGATTATTGGAGTTTGTTGGCTTTCATTTTACTAGTCAAATCAGCTTTTGATTGTAGAAGCTTATAAAAGCCACGTTAGGCCCTTTACACAAACTAATCTTTGACTTAACCTCACTCTCCTTCCGTCTACTTTTACTAATGGGTAGACAAACCATAAATAGATGGACCCTACTCTGTCCCTTTCTAGTGCCATGTGAGTGATCTAGGTTTTAAGTTTTAACATAGGCTGCAATATTTCTTGTCAAAATTGAGCATATAACCTTCAATTTGCAAAGTCATGGACAAATTACTATCTTTAATTTTTGTTTTTTTTTTTTTTTTTTTGAAAAAGTATCACTTACTACGGTTATGTATAATGATTAATTTATCTCGGTAACAAGTTTAAATAAAAATACTAATATTGTATTGTATTTGATGGTTTACAAATTTTGTATGTGTAATTATGCGAAATAAGAATTGTAATACAGTAAAAGGTGAAATTGACTCACTAATAATTATTTAACTAAATCAACATAAATATGTGTTTGACCCGCGCATATAACTTTTTTAGTTTTTTTTTTTTTTTTTAATTCATTTTGAGAGGTAACTTTTTGGTTTTGATCATAGCAATTTCTTCGTTTTAGAGGACATATCATTTTTCTTAATCCATGTGTTAAAAATAATCGTGTGCTTTGACATAATGGCAATTTTAAGGTTCAAGCCAAAAGCCAAAGTCTAGATTCATTGTTAACAGAAAAAAGTTACTTTTGCTTTTCTCACTACAAACTTTTTTCATCATTAACAAAAGTTGGGGAATAATCCCCTCCTTCCACTACACATTTAACCATAAACCATATTATGAAGGCCCATTTCAACTTTCAACCTTCCTTTGTAAATTTTTTACGAAATAAGTAAATATTAAATTGTGTATCATCCATCTTTAGACACATAAAAAGGGTTAGTCTGGTTATTGTTGCGAACCCCTGAATTACATGTCACAATATAAAAAAGGGTAAAGTGAAAAAAAAAAAAATCAATAATGTTTACATTTTTCACTACAAACTTTTTTCATCATTAACAAAAGTTGGGGAATAATCCCCTCCTTCCACTACACATTTAACCATAAACCATATTATGAAGGCCCATTTCAACTTTCAACCTTCCTTTGTAAATTTTTTACGAAATAAGTAAATATTAAATTGTGTATCATCCATCTTTAGACACATAAAAAGGGTTAGTCTGGTTATTGTTGCGAACCCCTGAATTACATGTCACAATATAAAAAAGGGTAAAGTGAAAAAAAAAAAAATCAATAATGTTTACATTTTGGGCAAATAACACCTTTTAAATTATTCTTTATGTTGTGTATATAAGTCTTTGAAAAATGAACAAAGAATGGTTTGAAATCATTATTAAAATAAAATTCTAAAAACGCCCATATCTCTTCCGATAATGCTCTTATATATATATCACACCACTGATGCCGGATATATCAAGTCGTCGTCGATGTTTCATTACCTGTGGCAGCAATGATGATGAAGAAACCCAAAAACCAACGAGCTAGTGGCCTAGCAGTATTAAACCCTTACTTTTCAAAAGAAGATCAGAGGTTCAAGTCTCATTGGAGGCATATATGGGCGTGTGAGTACTAACTAAAAAAAAAACCCAAAGAAAAGAGGAATATTTTAGTCATTTCACATTTAATTATTTTTTTACCTATTTTTTTATTCAGTTATAGAGGAACACTTCAGTCTTTTCAGCATTCAAATCTTTGTTTGCTCCAAAATTAAATGGTAGGGACTTTTTAGAACCTATAAAAGGTTATACACTCTATATGCAAACCATATGAATGTTTTTCACTCTCGATCCTATAGTAAATTTATTGTTGCGTTAACATTCGTTCTCATCTATAGGTATATGTATGGTCTTTCAGAGTGCTCGAGCTATCAAACGTGAAAATTCAAGTTCAAACATGATTGAAGGTTGGTACTTTACTCACATAATAACAATATTGTTAAATCCCTACCATGGTTATGGTTTGCAATAACCTTAATTAACATGAAAATTAAGGTTGGCCCAGCCGATTGCCTAGGACCTCCAATTTGGAAATGCCTCAAATTTAAAACATGGCCTACAACCTTATGTATAAAGGGTCTCGCATTTGAAAATTCACCCATAACCTCTCAAAATTTTGGAAATCTCAAAACCGGCCGTGATGAAAACTACACTCGGTAATGCCCTACACATCCTTGTTAGTTATCCACATATAAAGTGTGGTTAAAAAGGCATTTCACCCATTGCAGAAAACTAACCAACAGCTTGCTAAGATTGCTAATTAGCATTGTAATACATGTTAATCCCTTGTTTGTCCATTAACTATCCTAATGGAGGTTGATGTGGTCCCATGAATTGTCATAGCTCTCAATTTGGTGTTTGGCAAGTTTTATAAAGCAATGTCCTTCTTAAGGTGTTGGCTCAAAAGAAAAAAAGTTGGCAAAAGAGAAGAAACTATAATGAACACATGGGGAAAAAAGTAAGGAAGAGAAGTTTCCAAGTTGTTTATGCTGTCTAGTGTCTATTTGTTTCTCACGAATCTTTCTGTTTTTTGGTATAATTTTCAAGTTGAAGAAAGCAAATCCAAGAAAAGTATTCTCCTCATATTTTCCCATCCAATCTTTTTTCTATATATAATTCCCCTCATCTACCAGACTGAATTATGGTGCTAAAGTGGTTGAGTAAATAGTGTATAGAATGTGAGAGTTGTTAAATTGGGAAACGTAGCTAAGCTACACTCTTAGTTAAAAGTGTCAATGGCATATACATATAAAATTATATATATATATATATATAGTTGCACAAAACATTTAAACATGACCTTATTGCAGTTCAGCACCATAATTTCAAGCCCATGACCAAACTCCAACTATAAATTGGTTGTTGAAAATTTACTCACAGGTTAGTACGTAGTGAAACACTGCGTCAAAATTTAACTACTTGTTCAGAACATAATTGTTCCTGTCACACACTTTTGTGTGTGTGTGTGTGATTTTTTATTTTTTTGTTTTTCTCTGGACATTAACAAATGTGTTTTCACTTTCAATTGTGACTAATCGTCTTACTTGATTATGGTCAAGCGATTTTAACGGTAACATTCATGTATTTTTGAATTGCTCAATCAATTATC